GGGAGGGGGGCGGAGCCTCCTGCGGGAAACGGGGGGGGCGAGGTCTGCCGCGTGCGGCAGGTCTCGTCTCCACCGCTGGGCGCTCTCCTCGACACGCTGGCGCGTACATCGCTGGAAGGCGCCGGGAAAGTCAGTTGCGCGAGCCGATTCGCTCAGCGCGGGCCGCAGAGCGCACAGGCCGACCGCACAGCAGCCCCAAATGCACGCCGCGTGTGCAGTTTTCTAGAGCGTGGCCTCCGGATGTTCCACACTACAAGAATCCAGCCATGTGTGTGTGTGTTCTTGCTTCCAGCTTCCTGGCACGTGAACATGCGGTCGGGAACTTTGGCTTAGCGTGTCGCGCCCCCGGTTCTGGCCCACAACGCTTTGGCGCGACACGCTAACCACGTGCCGGCCCTAAAGCGCTAACGTCTCGAGCTTTTCGAGGCGTCCCGCCGCCCCGCGGAGCGGAGCGACCGGCTAATTCCGCTTGAAGGGGATAGCGTGTCGCCGGGGCCGCCGCCGCGACACGCTAAGCAAAAGTTCCCGACTGTAAACCTTCGGAGGTCCGCGCGGACGCGGATGTCTTTGGACGGCGCTGGACACCCCCTCCCCGCACCCCCGAGCCGTGCCTCAGGCACAGCCTCGGTGCGCTCCGCGCGAGGGGCAGGGATGGTTTGAGAGGGAGGTCCCAGCGCCGCAACCCAAGAAATCTGCGCGGACCCCCCGAAAGTTCGAATGTACCGTAACATCTGGCGGCTCGACCTTCTCGAGACTTGAGCCCCCAGACCTCTCAACCCCAGGGGCTGCATTTGCATCCTGAGTCGTTGTTTGGCGACCACGGGTTCCGCAGCGAGCCCGCAGGGCCCCAATGTTGAGAAGAAATATGAGCTTCGATATCCGCAGGATGCTTTGACGCCCAGACATCCGATGTCTTGATTCTCGGGCTTACGCCGCACCGCCGACCCCTTGGGGGGCTCCTGGTAAGTCTCTCGGGGGCCTCCTGGCAGCACTTTTGCAACCTTTTGGGGGCCGTTTTGGAGCCTCTTTTGGGCCTCTGGTGGGCCTCTTGGAGCCTCTTGGGGGCGTCTAGGGGGCCTCTTGGGGCCTCCTGGAGGCTTCTTCGGGCCGAAGGCTCGAAATTTCCGTTTGGGTCCCCCGCCTGGGCCCCCTCCTGAAGCCGTCTTGGAGGCCTCTTGGGCCGTCTTGGGGCCCTCGTGGGCCGTCTTGGAACCTTCTTGGCGGCTTCTTGGGCCGTCTTGGGGCGATCTTCGAGGCCTCTTGGGCAGTCTTGGACGTTGTGAAAGCCCAAGAGGCGAATGTGCTAAAATCAGACGTTTCCCGTAGGGAACGGGACGATTTTTGCTTCTGGGGGCCTTCTTGGGGCGCCTCTTGGGTGCCTCTTGGAGCGTCTCGGGGGCCTCTTGGGCCGTTTGGGGGCCATCTTGGGCGTCTTGGAACCATCGGCGACTCGGGGCCATCTTGGACCATCTTGTGGGCCTCTCGGGGCCATCATGGCCCGTCGTGAGGCCCGGCGCGTTCAGCCGGGGCCAGCCGGACCCCCCCCCCTCCAAACCGACCAGAACGGGCCCTGGGGGGAGGGGTTTGGGGGGGGGGAAGCATCTCACACGCCGATGACCCCAAGGGGTCGGCGGATTTTGTTTGCATGGGGTCCACAGGAGTCCCGACACTTTCCCCAAGCTTAGATTTTCATCCAGAGTTGTTTTTTGACGGGCTTGGGACCCAGTGATGACCCCCAGAGGCCGACACTTCTCAAAGACGTCCGTCCTGATATGCCGCTCCTTGCTCTCTCCTCCCTGCCCCTCCCTGAGGCCTCACCCATTCCCTCCGGCCCTCTGTCGTGAGGCTCTCATGTCTCACAAGGTCCCACGGCGGGCCCCTGGCCGCCCCGGCCTGGCGCGGAGCGCCCGTGCCGTCCCGCAGGACCGCCCGCTGCAGTGCTACGCCTGCCTCCGGTCCCTCAGGAAGCACGCCAGGCCCACGCGCGACGACGACCACGACAACGACGACGACGACGACGACGACGACGACGACGACGACGACGACGACGACGACGATCGGCTCCCGAGGCCCCTCGAGGGCGAAGACGAAGACGACGACGGCAACGATTGACTCCGAGGCAATTCGACGACGACGACGACGACGACGACGACGACGACGACGACGACGACGACGACGACGACGACGACGGCAGCGGCGGCGGCGGCGGCGGCGGCGGCGGCGGCGGGAGGGCAAGGGGAGTAGGCGGAGCAGGGCTCAGGAGGCGTTCGGCTGTCTTCCATGATTTTCGGGATTGTGCGGAGGCTTTCCCAAGGTATTCGGTGGTTTCTGGCGGGGGTGAGGGGGAGGATGAGCAGCAGTAGTAGCATCAGCAGGAGGAGGACCGAAGTAAGGCCAAGGCGTCGATGCCAAGGATGCTGCAATCATACACCCTCCCGTCGCAAGTCCCCCCCTTCTATGTTTTCACTGCGCGAAGCGTTTCCGTGAAAGACGAGCGCACCTGGGGCCCGCAAGTCAAGCGGGAGCTCCGTTTGGGAACAAACGGCCCTCAATCGTTCGAGCCGGAAGGAATGCGACAAAGTGGGTTTACTAGCCAGTCGCTCGGCGGTTGATCGGGAGTTTCTGTATATGAAAGAAGGGGCGTGCGCTTCTCAGCGAGAGGAAAATGATCGAGATGAGAATGAGCGTGAGGATCAGGAAGGCGAGGCTCGCCAGGGGGAGGATCAGGAGAGGGAGGGCCCGGCGGGAGAGGATCAGGCGAGCGTGGAGCTGGAGGGTGAGGGTGTGGAGAAGGAGGGCCAGGAGAACGAGGATGGCGAGAATGAAAATCAGGAGTGGGAGGCTGAGGGGGGGGGGGCGGTTTTTCTGAGGATGTCCCACCCACACGAGGGCGCCGGTTTGGAATTCGTCGACCGCCAGATTTTCCTGATCTCGCCGGATTTCCCGAGTTTCGCCGGAAGCGGAAGCCTCCTTGGGGAGGCTCCAGAGGCCGGTTTTTCGGAGGGTGTCCCACGCGAGGGCGCCAGTGAGGGCGCTGCCGGTCTGGAATGCGTCGCCAGATTTCCCGGATCTCGCCAGAAACGTAACAGGGGGGCCTCTGAGGGTCTCTTTGGGGAGGCTCCGGGAGCGGTTTTTTTGAGGATGTCCCACGCGAGACCGCCAGTAGTTTGGAATTCGTCGCCTCGTTCGCCAGATTTCCCGGATCTCGCCAGAGACGGAACAGGGGGGCCTCTGAGGGCTTGTTTGGGGAGGCTCGGGGGGTTTTTTTTTTCTGAGGATGTCCCACGCGAGGTCGGATTTGCGGAAGTCGTCGCCAGATTCGCAAATTCGCTGGATGTCCCAGATCTCGGTTGAAAAGAAACAGAGGAGGCCTCCGAGGGCCTTCTTTGTATGGAACGAGTTCGGCCCTTGATTCCATCGCACACACTCGCTGGCCCCAGGCGCACGCGGCGGACGCAGGCGCGAGCAGTCGCCGCGTCGCCGCTTGGCTCGCGCGCGCCGCGGCGCGCCGCAGGCGATGTGGGCAGGCCCGCGCGCCCCCGCGCGCGGCCGCTGCCCGCCGCGGCCGCGCGCAGGTACCACAGGCTTGTGCGTGCCTGGGGCGCGCGCCCCGCGCTCGGGATTTGAACGCGGGGCGCGCGCGACCGCGCGCGTTGGCCGTCGCCCCGCGCGCCGCCGCCTGCTCGTCGCTGCCGCTTGCCGCCGCTCGCCTGCTCGCTGCGTGCTGCGTTGCCCTGCGGTGCTGCTTGCCGCCGCCTGCCTGCTCGTTGCGTGCCGCTTCGCCTTGCGCCGCCGCCTGCCCCTGCTTGCTGCTCCCGCGCGCGCGCGCGCCGGTCTTCGCCGCGCTGCCCTCCTGCCCCTCGTGCAGGTTCCCTCCCCCTTCCTCCCGCGCGCGGTGCCTCCGCCGTTGCCAGGTTCCTTCCTCCCTCTCATCCCCCCCCGCAGGTACCGATTCCCTCGTCGTTTTGCCGGGCTCGAAAAGATGCCAGGAAGACTTCCGCGCGCGCGCGCGCCGGTCTTCGCCGCGCCGCCCTCCTGCCCCTCGTGCAGGTTCCCTCCCCTTCCTCCCGCGCGCGGTGCCTCCGCCGTTGTCAGGTCCATTCCCCCCTCTCCTCTCCCCCCGCAGGTACTCGTCGTTTTGCCGGACTCGAAAAGATGCCAGGGCGACTTCCCGTTACTCTGCTAGCGACTGCGGGACCTCATTAGGTCCAGTCTGCGTTTCGGCCTGACGAGGTCGTTGCAGGCGCGATTCGACGCCAACGCCGCATCCGAGCGCGGGCCGCGCGCGAACGACCGAACGTGGTCAAATTAGACGCAATTCGACGTCTACGCCGCAGCCGTCCGACGTTAGCAAGCGCACGACCGAACTAGGTCCGATTAGACGCAATTCGACGTTTACGCCGCATCCGAACGAGGATAGCGAGCGAACGACCGAAAGAGGTCACAGACGCAATCCGATGTCTACGCCGCATCCGACGAGGATAGCGAGCGAACGACCGAACAAGGTCCGATCGGACGCAATTCGACGTCTACGCCGCATCCGATCGAGGATAGCGAGCGAACGACCGAACGAGGTCAAACTAAGACGCAATTCGACGTCTACGCCGCATCCGAACGAGGATAGCGAGCGAACGACCGAAAGAGGTCCGATTAGACGCAATTCGACGTCTACGCCGCATCCGAACGAGGATAGCGAGCGACCGACCGAACGAGGTCAGATTAAGACGCAATTCGACGTCTACGCCGCACGTTCGGCGCGCGAGCGAACTTCCGAGCGGGGGCTGTTCCGACGCGATTCGACGTCTACGCCCCCTCCGCGCACGCTCAGCGTGCGTCATTTAGGTGGCCAAACGAGGCCCGCGCGCACGCGGTCGGCTCCGGCGCGCGAGCTGCAGCCGAGCGCGGACAGAGTGCGCACGAGCGCGTCATACGCGTTAACAGGCGGCGCCCGCTCGCACCCATGGCGGATTTGCAAGCTTTTCTGTCTGGCGTCGACGCGCACGCAAAGCGCGACGAGGAATACCTCCGCGACGTCATTGCAGCACTTCACGCGAATTCTGTCACGGCGAGCGCCACGCGCTTTCTCGGTCCGTCTGTCGCGCACAGCGCGTGCCAGGTTGAACAAGACCTAGTCGGGCTCAACATTCATGAGAGTTCGTTCGGCAAGGGCGGCCTCAACGGTGGGAAGGTAGCCTTCCTCGACCGCGCCGTCAAGCTTGCCGCAGAGAACGCCGCCAGGGCCGAGGCGGGGCGCATGGCCACCGCCCGCGGCGACGACGGGGCGGCGCGGGGGTCGAATGGCCCTGTCGCTGCGCTAGTGGACGCACTCGCGCGCAAGCCGACTGCGGCCGCGCACGTCGACATCGGCGCGAAGTTGGGCGACACCCGCCTCAGCGATTTGCCGTCTGCTTGCTGGCCGTCGCCGGCGTCGTGCGACTGGCTCGACGGCCAGGCGCCCACGCGCGCGCGGTGCATCGCTCAGCGTTCGCACGCGGCGCTTCGGAGCGGCGCAGGTCAAAGCGGCCCAAGCGAAGGGGATCGCGAAACCGTTCATTCACAGCGATTTGAAGAAGTGGCTGCCACACTGGGCGGTGGAGAAGCGCGGCGGCCAGGACGGCGCGGACGCGAACAAAGAAGGCGCGCTCTTTCGGCGCGCGCATTCTGGGCGGAGCCGCCGCCTCGCGAGGGCTGTCGCTCATGCCCTGGTCGGTCGCATTCGACTGGTGGGCCCTGGCCGCGAGCTTCACGGGCCAGATTGACCTGGCCGCCGCGATGGCGCACAAGGACGTCGTCATGCAGATCGCACTGCAGGCGAACTCCCTTCCCTGGTCTCGCGGCCGAGGCCAGCCGCCGCCCGCGCGCGTTGCGGGCAGGCGCGCGGGGTGCACAAGTCCACGGCCCTGGCGGTCATCTATGACGAGCTGGCCAGGCGGGAGTGGGCCGATGGCGCCAGTGGCTCCAGCTCCTTCAACGTCAACCGCGACGCGCTGCAGCAAGAGCAGAGCCTGCACATACGCGCCGAGCGCGAGTACACGGCTCGCGGGCATCCCAACCTCTCCGATCGGCAGCAGAAGGGCAGCAGCAAGGGCGCCCCCCATGCGGAGTTCAAGGGGAAAGGCAAGGGCAAGTCCCAGCATGCCGAGAGCGACAGGGGCTGGGGCAAGTCCTGGGAGCCCAAGAGCTGGGGCAAGTCCTGGGAATCGCGGGCCCACGCGAAGGGCAAAGGCAAGCACGACGCAGCGCGGGGCACAGAGCAGCCGCGCACGCCGAAGCGCAAGCGCGAGGATTGAGGCGCGAGCACCGCCGCGCGGCCGGCAGCGCGCGCTCGCGCGCGGAAAGCGCGCCCAGGCTTGGCGGAGCGCGAGAGCGCGGGCATACCCGCGCCGAATTTGCGAGATGGCAGGTCTCTCTCTGCATCACAGGCGCGACGCGCTTCCGTCGCGCGCGGGCGCCCCGAACCCTTGGGGGCCGTCGGCCGGCAGGCACGGGCGCCAGTGACGGCCTCTGGGGCAATGTGCCCGTCGGGAGACCGGAGCGCGCCAGTGCCTGACGGGCGGAACGCTGCAAGCAGCGCCGCGGCGGGCTCGTGGCTCCCGCGTTTTGAAGAATTGGCGTCCAGCGCCGAGGCGGAGAGCGCGGCCGCGATGCCCCGCGCCTTCCGCGCGCCAGCGCCGCAGCGTCGCAGGGGGGAGACAAGGCAAAGATCGACTTTGTCATCAATGCCGCGTCGAAGGGCACGGCGTGGTTTCAAGACGCCGCGCCCTTGCACGACGATCTCCGCGCCTGTGTCGACTGGGCAAAGTCGCGCAGTTGCCAGCAGGCGCGACAGTCGCAACTCGCGCGCGCCACCCCGCACGCGCCGCGCGGCAGATCTTCAGCGAAAGGGAGGCCGCGATTACAGCCATAGAGGCGCGCTGCCGCGAGTCGAGACGGTCAGGGGCCCAGCGGGCCTGGCTGGACGGCGCGGACGCGGCGG